TTTTTTTTTTTTTCCAGGATGGTTACCTCATGAATGATCTTCTGTGTTGCAGGGCTGTGTGGCGTGTAGAGGATCTTCCCCATCAGGAGAGGTTTCAGTGCTCTCCAGATCATTCGAGAGATAGGACTGGCTTCCATGTTCTTCATCAAGTTGTTACAGTATAGAGCTAGAAGCACAATACATAAGAATATGCATTAAAGGACAATTTAGCATTCATTTAATGTTGCATGCTCCGCATCATATTGTACCACTATTGTGCAGTATGCTAGTATCATATTTCAAGCGCAATTAATTTTGTTTATGAAAAAGCATGGTCATTTCTGTTGTAGATCAGGGATGTTAACAAAAACTATAAAAAAAGTACTTATTTAATTGAAATAAAGCCGCAATAAAATAACATACATTTTATAGGGAAATTCTGTATTCATGTATTGATTTTTTTTTTTAAATATCAACCTGCCCCGAGACATAGATTTTATGATATATCAAGATAATTAAATAATAAATATTATATAAAAAACCTTACAAAATAAATGTTGCCTTGGAAATTAACTTAAATAAAATCTAAGTTAAAGTACTACAATTACAATAACCAAACATGAAATATAAAATAAATTAAAGCTAAAAAATAAAATAAAATAAAAATGATAAAAGGACAAAAAAAATCCTAAAAATGTAAACAAAAGCTAATTCTAAATATTAATAAAAACTATATCAGTATATAAAAAATACTAAACACTATTGTAGCTTTGACGTACTGGTGGTGTTGTCATAGACTGAAACTGGTTCGTTATCACTGTCGTTGTGGCTGCCGAACAGCGCCTGGAAGTTGCTGTCCTCATACCAGTTGAGGGATTTGATCTTGAGGCCACCGCCTTCCGGGTGTCCACACACGATACGGGACATAGCCTGGTACATCAGACTCGGCGAGCCGGTGGCGTTTTCTGTCAGAAACAGGATCTCGTTTCGCAGGTCACTCCAGCTCCTCATACTGGCCAGCTAAAAAAGAATGACAGAGGATACAATTATAATCTTCAAGTCAAGCAGGCTGATACACAGGTTTCCGTTAGTTTGTTAAACAGGCGTGTCGGGTTTTATATTAAACTGGTGTATCTTTAAACAATTTGTTGACTTAAAAAAGGAAAATTCTGTCATCATTTATTCACCCTCGTGCAGATCCAAACCCATATGTTTTTTATTTTTCCATGGAACACAAAAGGACACATGCTGAAAATGACTAATCACTCTCAGAGAGTTTCAAGCATCAAAAGTACTATAAAAGTAGTTCAAACAACTTGCACACTATATCCAAATCTTTTAAAGCCATATAATAGCAATTGTATTTGGAACAGAACAGAATTCAAGTCATTATTCACTGAATGGTTTGTGACCAAATCATTCAGACTGTTTTGGTAAACTAAATAAAATAACTCACAAATCCATAGGATCTTTGGAATATTAGTGCACAAGTAGTCTGAACTGCTATCGTGATACTTTTATGCTGCTTTTGTGTCCTTTTTGAAGCATGAAAGCTCCAGTTTCTATTCATTCTAATTGAAAAGAAGCAAAACAAGCATCTCCTTTTGTGTTTCACTCAAGAAATAAAGTCATACCTTTTTTGAGGGTGAGTAAATAACAGAAGAATTTTAATTTTGGGAGAACTATCCCTGTAACATTTCATCAGAGAGAAAATTGTCAACTATTAGGAGAGATAATGTTAGTGTTTCATTATTCACTCCAGTACAGGCTGTGTTTGCCTAATCCTTGACGGCTACTGTCATTGTGTAGCTCATGTTTAGATGTTTTACCCAACAATCCTGAATCCAGAAAGCCAGTGCCCCAAGGGCCTGACAAAACCCAACACAACTCGCTTTAGACAAACAAACCCTCCCATGAAAAGCTGGTTCTGCTTTTTCAACACACAAAGGGTTTTGTCAAACATAAAATAAAAGTCTATCATAAATGCATTTCTAAGCTGGGAGGTTTGCTTTTCGAGGTTGGCTGACAGGAAAAGAAATGTTATTCTGTGCTGGTCACGACATTTCACATTGAAAAAAACCCAATTTCCCTGAGAACACTTTAATTTGTATTATAAATATTAAGAAAAAGTCTCAAGTGTGTCTCCATTTAATCTGACTGCTGTCTAAGAGAATCAAATAAAACATATTATTATTGATTTTTCTTTCCTACAGGTGCATTTTCACTTCTTGAGTCAACTTGAATCTTGAGAGAAAGAGAAATAGAAAGTGTGTTTTGTTAAGCACACCACTCTTACTTTTTCTGTAGTATACAGTATTTATACAGAGTACATAGTGTGTACAGTTAAACAAAAAAATAGTAGGCAGTATGCAGTAAGCAGTAGGTTAGTATTTCGAACACATCCACCAAGTAGAGAATTGCTTCTCCCGGTCATTCATTTTTGAAGCAGATGTGGTGTACGGCATACAACTATGCAGGATAAAACCATGTGAGCCTTACGGATCTGACTCAGCAAGCAAACAAGTCGCGTGCTGCTAATTTTGTGTAAAAGTGCACAGAGAATGGAGGGCGGAGGGTGCAACAGATGTCCTACTGCAAAAACAAAACACTCTCACAGAGGGGGAGAGAGCAAGAAATCAAGAAGGAATAATGAGCCATCTAAACTTCACAAAGCTGTACAGAGAAAAGTTGCATGCAATTTCTAAGTTCCATAATAAATAGAATAAACTCATACTATTTCTAATATGCTGATTTGGTGCACAAGAAACTATTTGCTGCTTAATATTTTTTTGGAAATCGTGAGACACAACCAAAATGTTGCGGTAAGTAAGCTTATTCAGAAATTGATCAAAAGTGACATCAAAGACATTTATAATCTTACAAAAGATATCTATTTCAAATAAATGAAATATCTTTTCATCAAAGAATCTTATAATAGTAAGCAGCATAACTGTTTTCAACATTGATAGTAACAGAAAATGTTTCTTGAGCAGCAAACCAGCATATTAGAATAATTTCTGAAGAATAATGTGACACTGAAGACTAGAGTAATGAAAATGCTTTTTGCACTTCATCTAGTCTCATACCAACACATTGAAAGGTTACTGGAATTCACCATCCGTCTCAAACGTGAAAGTGAGCCAGCAAACTAGACAGTGGGTTGAGTTTAATGCTCCATTCACTTAGACTCGTAGCCAAAGGTTTCCCTCTCATTTGAGCAGAAAACAGAGGGGCTTTTGTATGATCAAACAGGTCATGAACGCCCATCTCACTGTGTTAAGAAAACGTCTTTCTTGCGGTTTTTGGATACTGACTGCTGAGTAGATAGTGTTACTCTCTCTCTGGATGCTTGTTCAGCTGTGCTTGGCTGGGAGCTGAACCAACTTTCTCTTCCTCCCGCTGTGCACTGCTACAGCTGGCAAACGAGACACTACCGAACCCATCGACACATACAGGCCCACTGCGACACCTTTACTGCTGCGTCACCTTTACTTGTTCTCGCCATTAAATGTCACTTTCACTCTCATGGGATGATTTTAGAGCCTTACTGTGTGCTGGTTGTTTTAAATATGATAGACAACTCTCGCATGCAGTTGTTTGACAGTTCACAGGACTGCTCAGGATTGTTCTACCTTTTCTGTAGTGATAAACTCATAGACTTTAATGATAAGTGAATAATATGAAGTCTACCTCCACAGCCAGTGATCCCAGGCTTTCCAGAAGGTTGTCTGTAGCTTTGGCAACTAGACGGACGTCAGTGGCATTAGTCCTCATGTCTGACTGTAAAAAGCAGAGAAAAGATTTCAATAAATACACTTATTGGAAAAAAAAAATATATATATATATATATACACACACACACACACACACACATAAATAAAATAAAGAAGTAGTATAATATATATGTTTTTTTATTTATATAATTTACATTTTGTTTTACATTACATTAGATAAAATATAAAACATGTATATGCTATAAAAGTATGTTCATTTTTAAAAAACACTGAGTTATACTGTATATATATATATATATATATATACACATACATACATAACAAATATAATAAAGTAGTAGTGTATATGTTTTTTTAATTTATATAATTTACATTTTGTTTTACATTACATTAGATAAAATATAAACATATATATGCTATACAATTATGTTTTTTATTTTACATATTTGTTCATTTTTAAAAAACGCTGAGTAAACACTGAGTAACACTGATAATAAATCAGCATATTAGAATGATTTCTGAAGGATCATGTGACACTGAAGACTGGAGTAATGAAAATTCAGCTTTTATCACAGCAATCAATTATATTTTAAAGTATATTAAAACAGAAAACCAATATTAGAAGTTGAAATAATATCTCACAATATTACAGTTTTTCCTGTATTTTTGATCAAATAAATACAGCCTTGATGAGCACAAGAGACTCCATTAAAAACCATAAAAAATCGTACCGATCCCAAACTTTTGAATGGCAGTGTACATACATACATAACAAATATAATAAAGTAGTAGTGTATATGTTTTTTTTTAAATGTATATAATTTACATTTTGTTTTACTTTACATTAGATAAAATATAAATGTATATATGCTATAAAATTATGTTTTATATTTTTATATATTTTTTTAATTTTTAAAAAACTGATTTATATATATTTTATATACTGTATGTGTGTATATACATATATACAGTATATATATATATATATAAAACTCAATGTTTTTAAAAAATGAAACACTGTTTTAATTTTTGTTTTAAATTACGTTGTTACATTAGATAACTATAACGAAATATTATAATATGCATAAACCTGAATAAAAAGGTTATGTCATTTTATAAATGTATATATGCTATAAAATTGTTTTATATTTTTATATATTTTTTTAATTTTTAAAAAACTGATTTATATATATTTTATATACTGTATGTGTGTATATACATATATACAGTATATATATATATATATAAAACTCAATGTTTTTAAAAAATGAAACACTGTTTTAATTTTTGTTTTAAATTACGTTGTTACATTAGATAACTATAACGAAATATTATAATATGCATAAACCTGAATAAAAAGGTTATGTCATTTACAGATAAAGTTTAGGTCATTTACAATATTGTGTGTCACTCGGTTTATATGGCTGTTAAATTAAATCTAGTTGCTCGTGATAGTTCTTGTATCTAATTTGCATGTCTGTAAATGATCAGAGAACCATAAAAGTTACGCAAGGCCATATTCATTTCATGCATTCTACATGCCATCAGCCAGCGAAATAAAACTAAGATGACATATTTATCTGGTTTTCCACTGCACTTCACTTCCAAGAATCCCAATGATGAGTCAAAATCATCTTTCGTTGACCAGTGTGATCTATGAGTCAAACTGACATCTTCGTATTTCTTTTAAACGTTCATAGGCAGAAGCAGAAGAGAGGAACTGAAGCTGTTGTAACATATTTTTTATTACATTATGATAATTTTAATATGTGGTAATTTTAAGTATTTCTAAGAATTTAATATTAAATATGTTATGGTAATACCATATATTTGTTTATTAATTATTAAAAAACATGTATCAAATCTGTTCATTTTGATTCACTGTACCATGTTTCTTACCCTAATAGGTTTGAGGAAATCCAAGTTGGACTTGAAGTGTCTCTCGGCCTGGTCTAGCCAGCTATTGGGAGCGCTGCAGATGAGGTCCTGGGTGAATCTCGCCACCCTTTCGTCTGGGATGCTCACAAAATCCTCAAGTGTGGTGGTGCTGCACATGTCTCTCAGATGGACGCCAAAACCTTTGATCAGCACCTGAAACATGAGGAGCATCGGTGATAAGCAGTAGGAGTAAGAGCAGACAAAAGGTGTTCATGTGATCTGTGAGGGGTTTTGGAGATAGAAGGGGACAGAGCTGTTCATATGACCCATGAGATTGTTATCAGGACAGGCGCATTATAAGGCACTTAGACTAGATGCCTTGAATACACATTGAGAGGGTACATTAGGGTAAAACTAGGCTGCCTATGGTCATTTATGAGGACTGTAGATTGTGTAATGCCCCGAGGGCATGTCACACGGCTAACAGCTGTTGATTTACAAACAAAAATCAAGTGGCATGCTGGTTTCCTCTCTTTAACTGATTCCTAGGGGCAATTTAGCAGCATGTGTGGGGTAAACTATCAAAAAGGACCTAGAAACTATGTCCATGGTCACCGTGATTTTGCCAAGTAAGACATGTTCCTGAATCAACATCTTTTGTTGATCCTGGATCTACATTACTGTCCTAAAAAACAGCCTTAAAAGATATCCCTCAATTCTGATTGGTTAATTGGAATGTTGTTCCAGGATCAACAAGGATGTTGATCCAGGAACATGTTGTACTTGGTGAAATCACGCTCACCCTATGACCATGCCTTCCAAACTGTATGCGGTGTAATTACAGTAGAGCAAGTGTGAGGTTTGGGTCTTTGAACATGGAAGAAGTGGGTCAATGGAGAACCTAAATAGTCATGGACACCATTTATGCTTCAAAATAATGCTTTCAGTGCTCACCTTTTCAAGATTCACATCAGCTTTCAGAATATTCTGTACATAATTATGGGAAAAGGAGGCGTTTTGCTGGAGGAACGTGGAAAGGGTTTCATTTTCACGCAGGAAGTCCTTCAGCTTGAAACCTAAGGACAAACATACCACTTTAGTGTGTGCGTGTTAAGCAATGTTTCACAAAACCACCATACAATGGCTGTAGTTATCAGTTTTCAGCAATTTGAACAGACTTTTAATTTCAGAAGACCCGCCCCCACATTTTAGGATTAATGTTTTTGGAAACGCACCCCATTTTCCATTAGTTTACATTTACATCGCATTCTTACAAAACCTCAAACTTTTATTCGGAGTACATGCGCTCACTTGCAGGAATTTAGAGCTGTTCATTCAGGTGTGGAGCCTTTGAGAGTGTTAACTACACACTCGTGTGCTCTCCTTAAATTTCATTCCTCTTTCGAGATTCATGTCTGAGCAGGCCGGCAAGTGTGTTCACCTGGGAGTGGAAAGAAACGTCGACTGATTCATTGTGTGATTCCACAAACAATGTACAGGGAGTCTAGTTGCCTCAATGTTCTGGAATTTAAAACAGGGGTTGAAGTAGTCCACACAAATCCAGAAAAATTGGACAGACTTGTGTGAGACTCCCCTTCCTTCCTGAAATCTGTGGCATCACACTATCATTCATAAGTTTGATAATGATAATGCAATTCCTTAATCATATGAATCTTAAAAAATGAAGTACATTTTTTACATGATCTGATCAATATGACAAATCACAATCGAAACAAAAATCCTAAAATGCAGAGATGGATCTGCTGAAAGTCAAAGTCTGGTCAGATTGAAAGTTTTTCAGATCCCTTTTTTGATGGAAATACCTAAGTGGGGTCAAGTCTGTAAATTTGGGGACATCTCTCATGTTGCTAGACAGTAGAAACCCCTTCTACAATCCATACGCCTAAAGCTATACCTGATGTATATGGAAAAGTGTAGCCATTCACACCTAGCTAACAACTACCTGTGATAACCCTCACCCGGAGAAGCCCAACTGTCTCCATGTCTTCCATCTGTGCTGTTCATGGAAACAAAGGCTGGAAGTGT